GTGAGGTCATTTGTTTCTCCTATTTATTTATTTAAGATTTTATTGGTTTTTTACAGTTTTATATTCAATCAAATAACACAATATAACATTTGTCATATAAAAGAAAAAGACACACCCCCCCGTGACTTCCTTCAACTTCCCCTTCTGGTTCTTTAAATATTTACTACTTCTGCTTAATTATTATCTTATTTTTATAATCTTACACCTTAATACTCTTATTTTCTTCTCAGTATTATACCAAATTTTCCTTCATGATTACATCTTACAGTCCATTTCATTCTATGTTGTCCTTACTTAACCTTTGATCTTATTTTCTTGTGTTGAATCAAACCCTGCTAGTGAGTCTATATCTTTGCAATATTTCTGTAAATACAACATAAAAGGTTCCCAGTCTTTTTTAAATTCTTCATTATCATTGTCTCTGATTTTTTCCGTCAGTTTCGCCATTTCTGCATATTCCATAAGCTTGAGGCCATTCTTCCTTTCGTTGGTATTTTGTCGTCCTTCCATTTTTGGGTTAGTAGAATCCGAGCCGCCGTTGTAGCATACATAAACAACTTCTTCCGCTCTTTTGGTAGTTCCTGTCCTATTATACCCAACAGAAAAGCTTCTGGTTTTTTAACAAAGGTTATTTTAAACACCTTCTTCAGTTCATTATATATCATTTCCCAATAACTTTTAATTACTTTACACTTCCACCGCATGTGGTAAAGTGTACCTTCTTTCTCTTTCACTTCCAACGCTTATTAGCACTTGTTTGCCAGTTTGACAGGAATTAAATACCATCGGTACATCATTTTCATATAATTCTCTTTCGGAGTTGTACATGTGGTGAATTTTAAATCAACTTTCCATAATTTCCCCCAGTCTATTTATGGCTGTTTCTTACATCGTAAGATGTAAATCCTGCCCCCAATTCTTCTTAAATCGTTTAGCTCTCCCGGCTTCCCAATCAAAGGAAGTTCCAGGAGAAGTTTATTACACACTTAATTTCCCTGTGAGTAGAGTATTAGGGTACGGTGCTTTTGTAAGCTGAGCATTGGTGGGGTGAGGACAGAAAACGACTCAGTCAGTCATTGCTAAGTCACTTCCATGTTACCTTTTTATTAATGATTCATACATATTTGTTTGCACAAAGTTTGCAGGCATGTTAGAACACTCAACTGATTTCTTGGCAGGGACATTGATTCATGGAAGTTGTTATCCCAGCTCTTTCCAGAGCATCACTTTCCCTATTGCAAAAAGTTATTATTTAAAGGGATAGCAGGGTTGTGGTGCAACTTTTTAATTGTGCAACTTGAATTTGCTAGTAGGTGATTGACTTCCACCTTTAAAACCGTGACAATCTAGATGTTCACTTGCTTTGCAAAAAGACACATTAGTTCCCCTCAAAGCAAACAGCATATCTTTGGTACACAAGGCTTATTCTTGCAATCCATCGCTGGGCTTCTAAGTCCCTTCCCTTCCCACCCCCTTCTTTCTATAGTCCTACTGCCAAACTATTTCACTCCAGCGTCCATCCAAGCCAAGTGTGGTGTGCCTAGAAAATGGTAGCTACTGGCCACCAAAACCCTTGAATGGTCATATAAGCAAGTATCATCTAGCTGTCAAGGTTCACTGAAGCATCTTTAGCTATAGGCTAAAAGAAAAACAAACAAAAAAGGCCTAGAAGGAAAGATTGTCATCTCAGCTGTAACAATATAGCACTTAAGGCATGCACATTCTTCAGGCTTTTCCACACCAACAGGTTTGCTGGTCATTTGGACACTGGTTCCCTGTGAGTGCCCACCGGGATTTTTCTGCCCATGTGGCACCATCCCTGCAAGCAGCTCCTTCGCTGGCAAGGCCCTGGTTTACAGTGCTGTAGAGAGTGAACTTGCTGGGAAACTGTGGTTGAAATGTAAGTGCCTTTACTTTACTGTTGAGCATTGTCACTGAGCCCTTATTGCCTGGCCATGCAGTGTTGAATGGCCAAGAATTCATTACCCCCCCCCCAGTGCCCCCCCAAACACATATTTTGTTTCTCTCTGTGTGTGTAACAAGGAAAGTTGAATAAAAGGGGTTAGGGTTGCAGCCTTAAGCACCTCCTTCGCTTTCCCTAGAAGTCAGTGGAACTAAAATTAGCTGGGTCCTACCTAAATGAGCCAACCTAGCAGTTTGAAAGCACGTCAAAGTGCAAGTAGATAAATACCTTCCGGTGGGATGGTAAACGGTGTTTCCGTGAGTTGCTCTGGTTCGCCAGAAGCGGCTTAGTCATGCTGGCCACATGACCTAGAAGCTGCACGCCGGCTCCCTTGGCCAATAAAGCGAGATAAGTGCCGCAATTCCAGAGTTGGCCACGACTGGACCTAATGGTCAGGGGTCCCTTTACCTTTACATAAATGAGCAGAATCAATTCTTCCATAAGATCTAGAGGAATCGGAATTAGATGAACCCAAGAGAAGGGCCACAGCTCAATTGTTCCATTAGATCCAGGGGAATCATAGAATTGGAAGGGACCAACCTCCTGCAATGCAAGAATCTCAACATGTGGTTCCCCCATCCAATTTGAAACCATACCAGTCCCTGCTTAGTTTTGCAAATGTGCTAGCATTGCTGCACCACTAGAATTAGCTGAACCAAGAGAAGGACCACAGCTCAGTGTTAGAGCATCCCCATTGCATGGAGAATGCCCCAGGCATCTCCAGGCGGGGCTGGAAGAGATCCCACCCCTCTGAAAGCTTAGAGAGCCTCCACTATACAATAGTGAGCCAGACAGACCAGCAGTCTGACTCTGTGTGGGGCCACTTTCTACGTTCCTATGAGATGCCACCACAGAAGCAGGTTAGCAAACTCCACGGGGCAACACCTGGAACAACACAAGGAGTTGGGCAGCCCGTGGTTTGACTTTCAAAAGCCAAGGGGCTAATTGATAAATGAAAGCAGTGAAATAAAGGTGGGGGGATGTTGGAGTGTGTAAGTGTAGAGCATAGGAGCCAACTCCTAGGGGCCGATGGGTCTCTTTGGGCCCCCTAATAAAATATTTGAGGGGGCCATCACCCCCCCAGTTGATGGCCATTGCCATTCAAATGGTGTGTGTGCACTGTGACATGTGATCGATTATGCGAAGGCAGGGCTTCCCTGGGCCCCCCAATATTTTATTTAAGTTCTAACCCCGCATGCAGAGACAGGAAATGATAATGCAGACCATGCACATGAGACTGCGTGGCTGAAAATCGGGAGAGCCTGCATTTGGGTCTGGCTCCTTTTCTTCCCTGGGCCATCTCTCCCCAGGCTGGAGCTGCTATGTTGTTGTTGTTCAGTCGTGTCCGACTCTTCATGACCCGATGGACCAGAGCATGCCAGGCACTCCTGTCTTCCACTGCCTCCCGCAGTTTGGTCAAACTCATGCTGGTAGCTTCAAGAACACTGTCCAACCATCTCGTCCTCTGTCGTCCCCTTCTCCTTGTGCCCTCCATCTTTCCCAACATCAGGGGTCTTTTCCAGGGAGTCTTCTCTTCTCATGAGGTGGCCAAAGTATTGGAGCCTCAGCTTCACGATCTGTCCTTCTAGTGAGCACTCAGGGCTGATTTCCTTAAGAATGGATAGGTTTGATCTTCTTGCAGTCCATGGGACTCTCAAGAGTCTCCTCCAGCACCATAATTCAAAAGCATAAATTCTTCGGCGATCAGCCTTCTTGATGGTCCAGCTCTCACTTCCATACATCACAACTGGGAAAACCGTAGCTTTCACTATACGGACCTTTGTTGGCAAGGTGATGTCTCTGCTTTTTAAGATGCTGTCTAGGTTTGTCACTGTCACTGCCTTGCCGTGGCGAAGGGGCTCGAAGAACTCAGAGAAGCTATAAGCTATCTGTGCAGGGCCACCTAAGATGGACAGGTCATAGTGGAGAGTTTTGACCAAACGTGATCCACCTGGAGCAGGAACCGGCAAGCCACTCCAGTATCCCTGCCAAGAAAACTCCCATGGACAAAGACAACAGGCATATAAAGAGATCTCCGTTATTCTTCAGCAAACAAATCCGGAGAGCCGATGCTTCTTCTTTTCGGGTCTTGGGAGTTGGGCCTGATCCGCGCTGGGGGTCCAGGCAGACACGTGTCCCGCCCAGCCAAGAGAGTTTCGGAAGAAAGAAAAGACCAAATCCAAACCCGCCTCGCCTGGCCAGGCCAAGGCAGACGAGCGCGCTTTCTTCTCCCCCTCCTCCTGCTCCTTTTGTGCAAATCACGTCGAGCGACGTGATTAATCTCTCGGATTCCTGGAAATCTGACATGCTTGAGTTACAGCCCCGCCGCCTCTCCGATTTCGCCAGGAAACGGCTCGGGCATAATGGGAAACAAAATGTCCTCTGCGCCGCGCTCTCGGCGGCCCTGGCCGTTCCCTTGGACCCCCCGAATACTTTTCTCTCTCGGCGGCCTCCATCCCATCGCTAACACGGGAGGCGAGGGGCGCGAAATCGAGGCGGGAGAGCGGGGGGAGGAGAGGTGAGAGAGACGCGAGAGGCTCCGGGGTGAATGGCAAGTAGGTCGTCGGGAAGATGCCTGCGTGTCCGGTCCCTGAGGGGGAAACGAGACCCGTGTACACCCTCCTCACCACCGAAACGCGCGTTCATAAGGGGCGGCAGCTCGAGGAGTCAAACTTCCTTTTCCCGCTTGAACGCGAAGAAGTTGCGCGCGAGGGCGCAGGCGGGGACCCTGCTCAGGATTCCTCTGCGCCCTTAAACTCAGCCCGCCCCTCCCCCCCCCGCCGCCGTCTCTGAGGAAACGTGCCTGCCTGGAGCGCGGGAAAGTTCCCGCGCTGCGCCAGCCTAGGCGCGCTTTGACGCGGGAGTCCAGCGGAGTTGCCTCAGGAGGCGCCGGCGGCGGCGCCCTGACTCCAGAGGGAACGGAGCGGGTTCGTCGTGGCCCGCCCGGCGAGCGCCCCCGCGGGCTTCTTGGGCAAAGCGGTCGCCGCCCCCGCCGCCTGAGGCGCAGCCAGCAGCGCCGCGCTCCCTGAGGCGCTCCCGCCTCCCCACCCCGGGCCGTTCCCATTAGCGGGCGGGGCGGGGTGGGGGCTCCCTCGCTTGCTCCTCGCCGCCCTTCTCCCTCCAGGCATTGGCGAGGCCGCCTGTCAATCAGCCGCCAACTCCCCCCGCCCGCCCGCCCGCCCGCCCGCGTCTCCCCCAGCGCCGCACGACGGGGCTCCGGAGCGCGAAGGCGGCGGCGGCAGACGGGGCTCTGGAGAGCGCGGAGCGAGCGGGCGCTGCCGATGGAGGAGGCGATGCAGGCGGTGGCGGAGGAGGGCCCCAGCGTGGCCAAGATCTACAAGCAGCAGCGCAGCCCTTACAGCGCCCTCAAGACCTTCCCCAGCAGCCGGAGACCGGCGCTGAGCAAGCGCTACGAGAGACCCACCATGGTGGAGATCCCTCAGGTCAGGGCGGGCGTCGGGCAGCAGCAGCAGCAGCAGCAGCACTTCCAGCCGCTGCCCGCCGTCGGCTCGTCGTCGTCGTCCCTCAGCGAGCACCCGCTGCCTTACCAGGCGCACGGCTCCTACCCCGGCGCCAGAGCCTCGCAGGGCCACCCGCCCCGGACGCCGGCTCCGCAGCTGGGACACCAGGCAGCGGCGTCGTCCTCGTCGGCCAGGTACGGCCACGGCCACCAGGGGGCAGCAAGCAGCAGCAGCAGCAGCAACAGCAGCAGCAACGAGGGAAGCGGCAGCCTGGAGCTCAGCGCAGGTACCAACTTTGGCCGAGGGGGCTGGCCAGGGTCGTGGGCGTGTGGTGCCTCTTCTGGCACGCCTTCGCGGGGAGAGAAGTTCAGCTTCCTCCCTCTAACACCCAGGCACACACGCCCAAGCTTATTCTGAAGGGCGCTGTGCAAAGTAGCAAGGGTGCCTCTGGGCATGTGCAGAGCACACGACAATCCGTTTTGTAGGGGGAGAAGCGCGTTTGCAGTGCTCAGAGTGATCGCTAGCCATCACTTTAACGACGCTTGCAACCAGGGGTGTCAACTTGAAGGAAATAATCAATCACATGATGCGCATAATCAATCACATGGTGCGGTGCAGGCACACCATTTGAATGTCAATGCCCATCAACTCGGAGGGGGTCTGGCTCCCTCTAATATTTTATTGGGGGGTGTTGAAGGGACCTTGGCCCCTAGGCATTGATTCCTGCGCTTGCAACAGTATAGGCTGGTCCAAGGGTCCCTGTACAGTACTGCAGATCAGAGAGGGAACTGAGAACGAGAGGAATAATTCATTGTTCAGGTGAGATGGGAACTGGAAGTCCCCTAGCTAATGCTCTTGGCAACTGCCCTGCACCAGGAACTGGTGCCATTGGTTCACACACCAAGGAGGTCACCTCTGCGTTTAGGCGTCATGTCGCTGCTGAGTTGCATGTTGATGGACATCCCTTGCAAACGGCCTTGCAGCTGACAAAGCGTTAGGCAAGCTGACTATGATCCATCTTGGCTGTTGGGCTTTGAGTTGCTTGTCCTGCTATTAAAAGCTGTAGGGTTCTTTGGATATAGCTGCATCCCCTCAGCTGGAGAGGGGGAAAGTGATTATAATTTGACAGAAGGTGCGTGAAAGAGAGATCAGTGAAGCTGAAGGTTCAAAACTGTGGTTGGTGATAACTCTGAGTATCCCACATGGGTGGGTTCTTAAAATATTAGAGGGAAGGTCTTCCTCTCCCTCCCCAACTTCATCTCAAACCTACGACCCTTCAGAAGCTTTTCACATTTGCTCAGCCTCAGAACTGGTTTAAAATTTCCAGTGCCGGAAGGCAAACATCGATAATATATAGCAGAATGAAAAGAGAGTCTCTGCCCCTGCACAAAGCACCTTAAGCCTGCTGATGAATAACCACAGCCTGCATCCTACTCACCCTCTCCAAGGATTTGCATAAAGGGTTTTACGAGCCAGAGACTCTAGACTGACCCTCAGCCTCTCTTCCTTTATAAATGAATAAATTGGGAAAAGCTAGGGAGTAGCCTCTGGGGACTGCAAGTTACCTGTCAGCCAGCCTTCTGTTGGGAGGGATTGCACAAAACACCCTACAGATTGAGGGGTGCTTTAGATCCTAATTGTGGGGAACATTTCCTGGTGTTGAGATCCGCATCTGGATTGAATCCGCTGTGTTCAGTATCACCATTTTCCCTCTTGTTGCACAGCTGCTAGCCCAGAGGGAAGAAGGGCACAGAGGGGGACTGTAGCAGCAGGACTTAATCTAGAGGTGAGAAAACTCAGGCCAGGGGGTCAAAATGCAGTCCTCCGTGCCTCTCTGTCTATCCCACACCTTCTCTTCCAAAGCCATGCCCCTCACAGATGCTGCTTTGCCCTCTTCTCTGGCCGAAATGCCTCCTGAACTCTGACAGTGCCTTTTGCTCACCTGTGTGATGAAGGATAGAAAGGGGTGTGTGAATGTGCATTGAAACTAGCCCACTTGTTGCTCCACCTGCTTTCCCCCCTGGGCATGTGGCCTTAGGAAGGTTGCTGCCCAGGAAGGGCATCAGCAGGCATTTTTCAGGAGTGGGAGAGTAAAAACACTCAAGGTGAGCAGCAGATTTGTTGTTGTTGTTTAGTCATTTGGTCATGTCCGACTCTTCGTGACCCCATGGACCAGAGCACGCCAGGCCCTCCTGTCTTCCACTGCCTCCTGCAGTTTGGTCAAACTCATGCTGGTAGCTTCGAGAACACTGTCCAACCATCTCGTCCCCTGTCGTCCCCTTCTCCTTGTGCCCTCCATCTTTCCCAACATCCAGGGAGTCTTCTCTTCTCATGAGGTGGCCAAAGTATTGGAGCTTCAGGATCTCTCCTTCCTCAGGGCTGATTTCCTTCAGAATGGATAGGTTTGATCTGCAGCAGATTAGTTTCTCACAAAAAAAATAATTGAGAATGCTGTGTGCACATTTTGTCTCCTACCTAAAATATTACAAATGCTAGAAACTTTCTCTCTTTTTTTAATGGAAGCTGGGACCTGGGGGGTTATGGTTTACCAGTGGAAGGTAGGGACAGTGGGTGCCCATATTCCCCAAAAGGGAGTGTGCCCCCTCAGTTCCCTACCCCTGGTCTCCTCTGACCAGTCCTTGCTGCCGTCCACAATACTCCCTTCCACAATACTAATTGCTGAGCAGGATTCTGGACCGTTTTCACTGAATTTGGAAAAGGCTTTCTCAACCGTGTGCCCAAACCCAACTGTTTGTCAGATAAGTGTACCAAATCTTTGCAAAACAAGTGGTTGTAAGAATTTGTGGCTTGGGGGCACTCTGTGTTAGAAGTGGACTAGGTGGCCGCTACATGCCCCCATCTGCACTATACACATAAAGCAGCACCAGAACACTTTAAACAGTCATGTCTCCTGGGAACTGTAGTTTGTTACGGGTGCTGAGTGTTCTTAGGAGACCCCCTATTGCCCTCACAGAGCCACCATTCTCAGAGTTCCCTGGGAAGAGGGATTGATAGTGAAACCACTGTGACAGTTGTAGGGGGTCTCCTAACAGCACCCTTGTCAAACTACAGTTCCCAGGATTCTTTGGAGGAAGCCATGGTTGTTTAAAGTGGTATAATACTGCCTTAAACATATAGTATGCAGGCTGGGCCTCCGATTCCCTCCAAAAACCAGCCTGGAAAGGAGGCAAGAGAGGAAGAAGGAAGCCAGAAGTCCTCATCTGATGCCTGCTCATCTCTGCTACTTCCCATGGTTAGCAAAGCAGTCTGGGAGGTAGCAAGAAAAGGTTCTCTGTTGGCTGTGTGACTTCCTCCTTCCATGTCCCCCTGTGCGCCCCCCCCCAAAAAAACCATTTGCACCTGCCTTCTAGGAGTCTTGGACCATCTCCACATCCCCAAGAGGAACCACTCACATTTTCAGAAGCACTGCCATAGAGAGCCAACCAGGGGAAAGCTGAAGGACTGGGCTTTTTTCCCCATTCAAGTTTATCTCACTTCCTCTACCAGGATCTATTCTGATGCCTGGGAGTCGCCTCCCCACTCATTCTGATACGTATCAGGTCTGGTCTTGTGGAATCTTGCAATTACAGCATCCAGGTGTCCAGGGTCTCCTTCAGTTTTTCCCAAGAAGGACAACCTACTCTTGAAGTCGCCTCTTCCACTGTTAAATAGCTATTCCCATTAGGAAGTTTCTGCTAATGTTCAGCCAGATTCTGCTTCCCTGCAGTCTGAACCCACCTCAGGAGTGACAGATTATGTCTGCTCCTTCTACATGGCAGCCCTTCAAGATATTTAAAAGCATCTATCTTGTGTCCGCCTTAATCTTCTCTTTTCCAGGCTAAACATGCTCATCCGTTACCAAAAGTACAAACACAAGCTTGCTTGCATATCTTGCTTTGGACCTTATTTAACAAATTAACTCCCCTGGTGCGCATTCAACCTTCAGGTGAGTAATAGGATAGAACTGAAAATATGGATGTAAAAAAAAAAAGGTCAAAGGGTTCAAGGTGTGGGAGGAGCTGGCAAAAGGCTGTGCTCTTGTAAATGATTATAATAACAGATCTTAAACGGTTCTTGGGAAATAGAGATGAGCTTAGCCTGAATCCTTGGAGAGATTCTACCAACAGGAACAGTCATAGAATCAGAAAATTGTAGAGTTGGAAGCCATTCCCAAGTGTCATCTAATCCAACCCCTTGCATTTAAAAAATCTCAACATGGCCTAACTGTACAGTACAGGCTCATACGAAAGGCTTCTATATTACTTTTTGTCTCCCTCATGCACATATGACTAATGCCCCCAAAGGGGACTTTTTCTTCATTTTGTAATAACTGTTGTAGATACTCTTGCTAGATAAACATTAAAAAAATTAAAAACCTAAGACGGCCTCTGAACAAAGTTTTCCATGCCCTGCCTCAACCTTTCTGTTGAAAATGGGTTAGCATTTGATAGAAGTTTCTTATTGCCGCTGCTTTGTGATCAAGATTATTGCTTTTTTGTGACCTGATCTTTTGGATGAGAGCGGCACACTGCTTCTCCAATGAGGTGAGAAAAAACACAGGACACAAATGACCATTGGAGTGACAGCTCACTCTTCTGTGACTGGCTTTCTGTAAAATGTACAGACTCTAGATACAGCCCATTAGCAGAAAACAGGCTGTTTAAAAAAAAATCCCCCCAATAGATGTGTGCATGTAGATTTTGATTTTTAAATATATATATACATATATATATATAAATTTATTGAGCCTTGGTGTGGGAGTGTTAACTGAGATGTAGATCAAAATATTTTCTCTCTCTCAAGGTATAACCTACTAAGATGTTAATTGCATCTCTCCCTCTCTCTCTCCCTCTCTCTGTTCTCCTTTTCCTACTGATGGCTTGGTGTTAGAGCTCACGTAGTTCTTGATATGCAGCCTAAATTTGGCACCAGGAAATGGGAAATTGCATCTTTAAGCAGACTACAATCAAAAATGAATTACAATAAATCCTATATAATTGCATAGGTCATTCTCTTTAATGAGATTTTATTAACCTGACTGTCAAGCTTTTGAGTCAGGCAGATATTTTATCTTCTTCAACTGATAAAAGTGTCAGCTATAAACCACCGTATAAATATTCATAAATCTACACATCTGTGGCAGCCTATCAGCATCATTCTTTTGGACATTAAAAGCATTCTAATTACTTTCTGTCTAGCAGAGCTGAAAGGCTGACTGTTATAGTATGTGCTTGGCAGGCATGATTGCTTTTGTTTGCCATCACAAATAACAGCATCCCCGTTTTA